AAGTGGAGGGTCAGCAAAAAAGAGGAAGACCCCCCAATGACATGGACTGACACAGTAGCACCAGCAACTGTGAGGTTGGTCTTGTTGTGCATAAGTCACTATGAGTCGAAACTGACTTGATAGCACTTAACAATTCAATCCATAATATAGCATATACAACCATTGGATTTGGGACAGATCGTGTTAAAAGCATACTCCTCTAGTGTGGATGAAGTTGTTACAACAGAGAGGAACCCATATCTCAAAGATGAGACTTCTTCCTGGTGAGGGACCAAATAATGCTGGAGAAATTCAGAAGAGGAGAAAACTCTTGGCACAACATTATCTGCCTGCCAGGCAGAGTCAATTCCTCCAAAGCAAGTTTTGCAAGTATACCAGGTTGGTGTGAAATAATGGCTGGGTCTTTTACTAATCTCAGGGATAGAGCGGAAATAACAAGAGAGATAGCAATCACTGCTGGAATTCATGCTCCTCATTGTCCTTAGAGCCATGTTTTAAAAGATGGTATTTCCAGCAAGAGACTCTCCAGGCTTTCCCAGTGGTGGGAAAGGTCAAGCTGATTTGGAAGGTTTAATGACCAAGAGATAAAAGAGGAGTGGGAGTAAGCAGAAGTCAGAAAGTTGTACTTTTGTGAAGCAACAATTCCTTTCCTTTGCCCTTCTCATGGGGCAGAAGATTTGACATTAGCATCCAATTCACTCCCCTTTCTAAGTAGCCGTAAATCCATTCTCCACCAAGTAGGGAAATGGCTCTCAGAAATTAGCTAAGTCACTGGACCTTGTTTTCCTAGGACAAGGAAAAGGGAGCATGACAGAAACAGCAAAAGCAAAGTGCCTACACTACCAGCACTATGTGAAGAAAACATGAGTTTCCTGTGAAGTTGAAATGGTACAAAGGCAAGTAGCAGGACTTCGGCAGACTTGCTAATAATGTTCCTTCTCACAAGGAGCTCTGGTAGCGTAGTGGTTACGAATCGGGCTGCGAACCTTAAGGTCAGCGGTTCGAAACTACCAGTCGCTCCGCGGGAGAAAGATGAGGCTTTCTACTCCCGTAAAGATTTACACCCTCGGAAACCCTGTACAGGGTCGCTATGGGTCGGACCCGACTCGATGGCACTTAACAACAGCAACAACTCACAAGGTTAGTGGGTTGATTAAACTAAGTGCCCTTCTGCAACAGACTCTTGTGTGCTTGCTATCATAGATGATGGGGATCTAGCAGCAAGAGGCTATCGTTTAGACTGCCTTGGAAGTTAAGGCGGAGGGGAGAGGGAAAGGTAAGGATTTCCCAAACCAGAGAACTATATGATAAGGAGGCTCTAGAGAGCCCAATGTGAGAGCGACATGCTTCACAAATGGCTTTAAAAAAATATCATGACAGCAAACAGAAAGCAAAATTTAAGGAGACATTTTCCTTCTCTGGATACTGCTAGAATGTGCCTTTAGGTGCCAAATAATGACAGCGCTGGTCATATTTACATGCATAGTTCTCACTCTTCTCCCAAGTCTTACTCACCATTTATTAATGATAAGCCTACTGTGCTATTGTCGACATTTCATATGTAAGAAGTATGACTGGAAAAGTAAAAATTCCCAAAAAAGGAAATGTGAATTTAAAAAATAGATTAATAGAGGAAAAATACACACACACACACAAACAATCCTTTAGATATATAAAGTTAGAAGAACTAAATTTGTTTGAGGGAAATATATTTTAAAAACCAGAGTATGGGTATTGGGGACCATATAAAATGAGTTTGTACCATAAGGGTGATTTTAGCTGTAAGTATGTGTGTTATGTCAAATTAAGCCAACTCAAACTAGTTTTTAAAATAGACATGTACTATCTCACATAACAAGAAATTAGAAAACAAAGCAGCTCAACTAAATTAGAAATCAGTTAATAAGATATCTAAGAAAAAAACTATCTATTCAAAAATTAGTACCCTTTTAAATAATTCATGGGTCAAAAACAAAATCACAAGGAAAATTAGAAAATATTTTAAAGTGAATGATAATGAAAGAAGAACATATCAAAATGTATAGGATGCAGTTCAAGCAGTGCTTAGAAGGACACTACTAGCTTTAATGGTTATGTTAAAAAAGAAGAAAAGTTTAAAATCAATGTCCTAAAGCTTTACATCAGGAACATAAGGAAAAGTAGAGTAAAGTAATCACAAACTAAGTCAAAGAAGAAAATAGTACACTTCCGAGCAGAAATTAATAAAACAAAAATACAGAACATAGAGACAATAGAGAATACAAGACCAAAAGCTGATTATTTTAAAAAGATAAACAAAATCAACAAACTACTGGCTTGACTGATAAAGAGGGGAAAAAAGAGAAAAAATACATCAATACTGACAATAGGGATGAAACAGGGGGCAGGTCTTATAACCATTAATAACAAAAACATATTAGAGTAACTATATGCTCACACATTTGGTAGTTCAGATGAAAAGGACAAGTTTCTTGATAAACACAACTGATCAAAATTGATACAAGAAGAAACAGAAAATAGGAATAATTTTTATCTATTTGAAAAATTGAAATATCATTTAAAACCTTGTTAAAAGTAAACTCCATTTATCACTGGTAAATTCTATCAAACATTCGATAAATAACTAGCACTAATTTTCACAAGTTTTTTTTTTTTTTCTCCCAGAAAATGGAGGAGGTCAAAATGCCAACTTACTTTATAATTCTGGTGTAAACCTAATACTCAAACCTGGAAAAGACTATTTTTTTAGCTAATAAGAAGATGAAAATACAAGTTAATATCCCTCATTCATACAGGCACAAAAAAATTCTTTAGAAAGTATTAGCAAATCAAATTCTCCAATATAAAGAAAAGATAATACATCATGACCAAGGGAGATTCATGCTATCTTTGCAAGACTGGTCTAACTTTCAAATAACAACTTAATTCTCCATATTTACAGAATAAAGGAAGATAATCATTTCAAGAGGTAGAAAAATCATTTGGTATAATTCAACAGCATTCATGATTGAACAAGAAAAACAAAATCTTCAGCAAACTAGGAATAGAAAGGAACTTATCAATCCATTAAAGGATATCTTCATAATTGGCATCCATACTGGTGAAATATTAAACACTTTCCCCAAGGGAACAAGGCGAAGCTAACGGCTTTCATTACATCTATTCTACATTGTACTGGATTGCATAAGGCAAGGGGAGAAAAAAAAAAAAAAGCATAGCAATCAAAAAAGAAGTAAAAATGCCCTTATTTTCTGATGGTTTGATTATTTACATAGACAACTTCACGAAACCCCCAAATCAATCAAAGAACTAGCAAGAGAGTTTAACAGATTGTATTTTCTCCCTCATGTGAAAATACAATCTGTTAAATTTTTTACTATTATGTGTTCCAGTTCATATACACAAGGGTTTACTACAAACAAAACGTGTTTAGACATGTCTCTACCATCAGTGGATGACTGCAGACAAGTTCTCACTGTAATACACCAGTCTTAGTCCTGTTGAGGTGCCTTCAAAAATGATCCAATCAAAATATTGACTTCCCATGGGATCTGTGGGCCAATTAAAATCAAGGCAGAGCGTTCAGGTCAGAAGGTTATGGAAATTTATTTTGGCGATCTCAAAGAGGTAATCTTGATAGATATTCTGGAAGAACATAATATGATCATGGGGGCTTATTAGGAAGTAGTTTTTTAAAAAATTAAAAACTGCATTAGTGAGAAAAAGGTCAAGAATATTACACATCAAGGATTTTTCCATCACCACAATGTACCTGATAACTGGTAAGGACTGTCCTATGAGACTGTCACTGGGAAACTTTGCCCTATCCACCTACAGTTCTGATATTGCTTCTGAAACTTCTTTTTGTTCCCCAAACTCAACACCGAAAAAGAACATAATTAGAGTACCTTGTAAATACTGTAGTTGTTGTTATGTTGGTATAAATCAAAGAGTGCAGAACTCTTGAGGGAAGTGTTAGAGAGATGGAAACAACTCCTTCATAAATGTGTACACAAGATGGAGAATATATTGAGACGTAACAGCCTCACCTTTTAATGTTTTTGTTTTATATAGGTTTCTATCATTTTCTAGTAGTATTTTTTTTACTTACCCTTGTATCCTAGAAGCAAACAATTGGAAAATAAAAGCCACTGAAAATATTCAATCATGCATTTAACAAATTGTTCAATATCTACCTATATGACAGGAATTATATAAAATCTTTTTTTTAAAAAAAGAGGAATGTCCCACTAACCCAAAGATTCCTAAAGCAAGTTATATCTCAGTGATCTTATTTTTAAGAAAAATAAACTAAAAATGTATTACTTATCATTTTCTTTCATATGCACACACACACATATACACACACAATGCATAATCATATCTGTACATAAGTAAACCTGCAATGATACCAGTTTGAGTCAAGAATTTCATAGTACATAAATATCTCCATGTCCTCTGCTTGCTTTTTGCCTTTTTAAAGAGGCAGAAATTAACCACTCTTTATTACTAGAAATGGTCAAAGTGCACTTCTATTGCAGTATAGCCTCAAACTAACCAGCAGATAGGAAGCAGTTGGGAGAGAAGATGTAGCCTCAAGCATGAAGCGTATAAAGAAACCCTTTATTATAAATAATCAGAGTGGATAAAACTTGAAAAATGAATTAAAATTCTCTTTAAACAGAAATCAAACAGAGCTGCCCCAAATAACTAAAATAGAACAATAGTTATATTCTTCTAACATTTATACTACAGTTATAGCTTTAGCCTGGTAGCTTTTTTTTCATTTTTCCTAACCGCATATAAAATTCACATTGATCACAATTTGCTTAAATTAATTCTGATATGTCATTTATAATAATCATCTTTCTAATATTTAAATATTTTTAGATGATTCCATTGTTTAGGGATATTTATATTTCAACTCAATGAGTCACATCCATATTTTTACAAATTTTATTCTTTTCCAAGTATGTCACCTCCGGACTTCTTGGAATATTTCACTCTTTTCGACGAAAGTATATACGACTCATTAGTTCTCTGAGCTTCAGTATTAAGGAGTAGTTTTTCAGGTTTTCTTTCCACGTTTCATAAGTTCTTCTAAGGTTGTCATAATAACTTTCTTTTTTAAAGTTTAAATTTGGTCCAATTTTTAAAAAATAATTGTCTTTTTTCCACATTTCTTTCCAGGAATCTTTGAGTTTCTCCAAATAATTTTCTTTTTCAGATTCTTCCTTCCATATTCCTTCTCCTTTTTTCAAGGCTGTTAATTCTGCTTTAAGTAAGTTTCTGTGAACTGTCCAATAGATTTTAGAATCATAATTTAGTCCTTTCACAAGAATAGTTTTACCAAGGCCTCTTCTCAAAATTTCTTCATTTATGCTCACATTAAAATATCCACCCTATTAAAAAAAAAACAAAAACCATAAATTAATAAAACTGTTAGTGTATGGATAACATCTTTTTCACCCTAAAACCAGTCACTCAGTAACTTCAGTCCTCCAGAGAAAAGTCAAACATTGAAATCCAAAGAGTCTCCAAGAAAATAAAAGTTATTGCTAAATCCAAGAATTTTATGACTTGAAAAGACTTTGCTCAAAGTCTGACACATTTTTTTTTAACTGACTCTGAAGACTATATAATTCTTCACAAACACATTGGTCAGAGAAACATAGAAGCAATAAAGTATAAAAAGGGCTTCAGAGTTTATTGGATGCTGTTTGGAAAGGGAGGGGCACACAATACTGGCACAATGACAGGAGCAGAGGGGACAGAAACTAAAAAGCAGAGAACTGCAAAACAACACAGAATCATCATATTTAGCTTTTAAATGAAGTCTAGAATTTCAATATTTATACAGGCACTGGTACATAAAAAGTACTGGTGATGCCATAGGATGAGCACTAGACTGCTAGCTGCAAGGTTGCCGGTTCAAACCCACCAGTCCTCCACAGGAGAACAGTGAGGCTTTCTGTTCCCATAAAGATTGACAGCCTCAGGCACTCTGTACAAGGTCATTATGAGTTGGAATGGAGTCCATGACAGTGGGGGTTTCTTTCGTTTGTTCGTTTTTTTGGCATGTTTTAAAAAATTCCCTTCGGTAATTAACATAATGATCCTGATTCTTGAATCTTCATCCTTTAGCAAATTTTTTTCATGGAATATCTCACTTCCTAATGAAACCGAATAAATACAAATGTTTTCCCTAACTAACAGTTTAAAGAAGAGCCCACTTAGCTATTTCTATAGTCCTTTGGGATTTCAATCTAATCAAACTAATTTTTAAAATTACTAATAATTTAATAGCTTCATCAGAAAAGTAATTCAATTAAATTCTAAAATGTGAAATCTCCAGGTTTAAACTGGAAGACATTTTTCTAAGAAAATTAGAATAACTCAAATTAGAATAATTAAAATTCAATCTCATACATTACTAAAACTCACTAGAAATAAAACACCATAATATACATATACAAAAGTTTTGTTACTTTCTAGGAAATAATATGGAGTTTTTATGTTGCACTGTAGGATAAGCACTGGACTACTAACCACAAGGTCAGCAGTTCAAACCCAGCAGTCGCTCCTTGGAAACCCTACACAGGGTCGCTATGAATGAGAATCAACTTGACAGCATTTAACAACAACAGGAAATAATATAATACAAAGAGATATGTATGATACCCAGAACCAGGAATATTTGGACTTGAATACAGGTTCTTCCACTGGCTACCCTGACCATTCAAGACACTAGCCTTCCTTAGAATCCCAACTGTAAATAACACTACAGACATTAACCCATAGGGTTGTTTGAAGATAAATGAAATAATAAATTCATAGTGGCTAGTACAGTGTCTGGTACATGACAAACACTCAAGTATTATTATTTCTTTCATCATCGTAATCAGTTCCTTTTTTTGATTATTATACTCTTCAGCCTAAAAGAGAAGTTAGTGTTTTTAAGGCTAGTGGGATAGTTTATATAATTTTGTGTTATTACGTTACTTTTAAATGTAAATTGCTACAAGCAATACGTTTTGGATAATTCCCATTTCAAAGGCACTGAATATGATATGGGCATGTAAAACTTAATGGATTTCACTATGCTTTCTATTAACTCAAAAATCTTTTTAAGAATTAAAATGGTTATGATCATACTCTTTTTAATATATTTTTTTCTTCAAGGAGCCCCAGTGGTACAAACATGTAAGTGTTCAGCTGCTAACTGAAAGAAAGGTTGGTGGGTCGAGAACACCTGCAGCTCTGTGGGAGAAAGACCGAGCGATCTGCTTCCTTAAACACTGCAGTTCAGAAAGCTCTATGGGGTACTTCTACTCTGTCACATGGGGAACACTTAATAACAACAAATTGTTTTCTTCTGATTATTTGTATTGTTTGCTATGCAATAATGGATTTTAAAAATAAGAAAACCAATATCCAAACCCACTGCTGTCAATGCACAATCTACTTTTAATCATATCTTAACATTTCAACCATTCACTTTTCAATATTGCTTCAATATTTCTTTTTCAGTAATCACCCATACGCATGTTTTTATATAGTTAGAAATTAGTCTAGATGCAATTTTGTATCCTTTTAAAAAAAACTGATCTTCAGTCACACATATTTTCTGTTTATTAGTCACCATAATTATCACTGTAATAGTTGTAGATCACTGAATTAAGAATCTATCACTAAACGAAATCTGGAAGTTGCTACATCCCAGGATTCAGGATACTGATAGAGACTCAGTAGCATCCCCTTATACAAAGGTGTGACCAATGAAAAAGGTTAAGATGACCCTGAGACAACATCTTCAGATGTTGGTCAATAAATTGTTGCTGTTATGTGCTGTGGAATCAGTTCCTACTCATATCGACCTTATGTAGGGTTTCCGAGGAGAGGCTGGTGGGATTGAACGGCTGATCTTGTGGGTAGCCATCCAGTGCTTATCCCACAGCACCACAAATACTATTTAAGTATGCTCAATTTCCTGGTATGGTTAAGGTAAGCTGGTATGGTTAAGTATGCTCAATTTCCTGGTATGGTAGGATATGCACTGAACTGGTAACCACCAGGTTGGCAGTTTGAACCCACCCGCCATTCCTTGGAAACCTTATACAGGGTAGGGACTGACTCGATGGCACTTAAAAACAACAACAACAATTTTCAGTTCTAGAGTTCAAAGACCTACGCATCAAGACCAATTATCTATAATGTATAGACCAGAAACTTCCCTTGCCCTCTGCAGTTTCCATTTGACAAGCCTCACTTAACAAGTGGTTTCTAATAACTAAGAAGTGTGGCATAGAATATACATGCATAAATAAGTATAAAAAGACACTCCTTAATTTAGTATCATTAATGATTTGAAGGGTTTTTTCCTTGGTCTTTTCTTTTTTCTATAATATATATTATATATATAGTTAAAATGTCACAAAATTTATACATAAAACAGAATATAGTTAGTTATCTGTACATAATCACTATTAGCAGATGCATAAGGAGAAAAATATTCATAAGGAATCATTATGTATTCAAAGTTTTAATAAACAAGTATTTACATAGAAAAATAAGTATAAAATACTGCTAGTTGTTTGTTTCTACTACTTACCTTATTCACCAATAGGTAGCAAAAGAGCGCTGAATTTTCCCTTCCAAGAAGTTGGAACCATAGTAATTGGGAAGGTTTGAGCTCTTTCTTTAACCATAACTTCCCAGTCTCAGTGAGTTCTACTCCAGCCAGCTTAACCAGCAAAGCACCACACGGCTCTTCTAAGAAGGTTCAATAGAAGATGGCTTAGTGTTCATAGCATGCTACAAAAGCAAAATCCAAAGTAATAGCTAAATATAATATGCTTATTTATAAAATACCCAGACTCTGTAGATGCAGGTTGACATGTATTCAAGTTTTCTTTCAAAAAAATATATATGCATAGGATAGATGGAGTAAAAGTATAGTATTTTTAATAACATTCAAAACAAGAGGTAAGATTTAGCCTTTTTTGAAAAACCCTTCCAGATTTACTCAAATAGATAGATAGAGATAGAGATTCAGATAGATAGATAGATATTCAGAGCTATAGATTAATGGTTTAGTAAAACAAATTCTTACTACCAACAGATCTGTATAAACTGCTTTTTCACTTAACAAATTATTAAGGATACCTTCCCATTTCAATAAATATTGAACTACAACGTTATTACTTTGTGATACATTTTATAAAGCTGATTTCCAGACAGAATTTATCCATTTATAATTCAAATAACATAGTACAAAGCCATTTGAACTGCCAGGTTGGTGGTTCAAGCTTACCAGCTGCTCCTTGGAAATCCTATACTGGGTCACTATGGATTGGAATCGACTCGATGGCACTTTAACAACAAGGAAGGTTTCTTCACCCAAACCATGGATAAAATTTTAACTGTTGTTGTTAAGTGCTGTCTAGTCAGTTTCAACTACAGTGATTCTGTATAGCTTCTGGGGCTGTAAATCTTTGCAGAAGCAGAAAGCCTCATCTTTCTCATATGGTGCAGCTGGTGAGCTTGAACCACGGAGCTTGTGGTTTACAGTCCTGTGCTTATCCTATAGAGCCACAACACTCTCAAAATTTTAACTAGGATTTATTTTTTTAAGTTGATAATTTTCCAAAACAAGATAATACTGGGTGACTTAAAAAAAAAACAAAAAAAAAAACTCTTCATGTCTTTTTAAAAATTATATACTTAATTTGCACTAAGTTTTTGTTAAGTAGTTAGAAGTGTAAAGTTAAGTTCAGCCATTCTGCAGGTAGAAACCTGTACTTGAATTTGAGAAGATATACTAGAAACCCGCTCATATATTATTTGATTAACAAGAAGCATTTTCTTCAGGACCTGGGATTCTTGAAATCTACCCAAGAGTTTCAGTTAGGGAAATATCAAACTGGTGATTTCACTTATTTGGCACATATAGGATAAGCAATACTTTCAGAATACTTGCGTAGTTGAATTCTTGCAGAAGTGTAAGTAGGATAAATGTGCTTTGAGCAAAAGCTTTGTGTTATAGTAATACATAAATGAGATTAAGGCGGAATAGACAATAAAGATTAAATGAATAATGCACTAAGGGAAGCCTGAATACGTTAAGATCTCACTTGAGTCCTTTCATGTTGTCATCAACACCAACCAGCTGTCTCCTAATACAATATTTCTTAAGTCTTTGAGATCAAAGTTTTCGGGATACTAAACTTGAATTGTATAGTACATAAAGCTAATTCAACACTATCAACTTTAAGTATTAACATCCTAATTCTGCACTTTTCAAAAGATCACTGAGTTCCACATCTCTTCCAGGAACAAATCTATGGAATACCTAGGAAGTTATGCCTATATTTTGGAGATTCTATATTTTATTTTCTCCAAAATATAGGCATATGGGGGGGGGATGTTACTTTTTAATGTCTATGTTATGTAAGTTTTGTATTTCTGTGATGCGAACCACTTTGTTTCCCCAGACCTTCAATAAAGTCTTTTTATATACACACTAAAAAAAAGCCCAGGAATGACCGATTATGCTACAAAGTTAGGAGGAGATGGACACAAGAGCACTCTGCAAAAAAAGGTAGGATTTGGGTGTTGTAGAATAAACAGAGAACCAGAGGGTAGTAGGGGAGAGAGCATGTTAAATAAGGAAAAGACCAGGGGCACCTGAAGAAATCCACCGACATGAAAGAAATGCTAAAGGAAACTCCCTTTCTGCCTCACAAAGATGGACAGAAAATTGTGACTGAATATTTTGAAGGTTTTCAAACGCAATGCAGTAGCAACTGGTTTGTACCTTAGGTTTAAATAATATGATATATGGATTCATAACAATGGACAACTTCATGAAACAGAGGTAACATATTGGTATCAACATGACTGAAACCAGGTTATTTTCAACGTGAAAGTTGGACAATGAATAAGGGAGAGAGAAGAATCAATGCATTTGAATTATGGTGCTAGAGAAGAATATTAGAAGCACCATGGACTGCCAGAAGAACAAACAAATCTGCGTTGGAAGAAGTGCAACCAGAATGCTCCTTAGAAGCTAGGATGGCAAGACTTGATCTCTCATATTTGAGATATGTTGTCAGGAAAGACCAGAACCTGGATAAGGACATCATGCTTGGTAAACTAGAGCATCAGCAAAAACCAGGAAGATCCCCACAAAGAGACAGATAGACACTGTGGCAGAAGCAATGAGTTCAAACTTCACAGTTGTGAGGATGGTATAAGACGGGGCAGTGTTTTGTTCTGTTGTACACAGGGTCACTCTGAGTTGAAACTGACTTGACAACACCTAACAACACCATACATATTAAAAACATTTTTTTTTACCATCAGGGATATGATAAGTTTTGAATAACTTCCCCTCTAGAGTGCAGATTTTTTTACTACTGTCGGCTTATCTCTACTGTTTGCCATGATACACTGAGACTATGACAGAACAGGCATCCAGTAAATATCTGTGAAATGTTACAACAGTTAAACTTCACGGAATGTTTAAGCTACATGTGTGTATCTGTGTACATCCTCCTTCATACATATCAAAGATAAAATCATCGGAGGGATGTTACAGTATAGTGCATGGGGAATTTTAGAAATCTTCTAACAACAGTCTGGAACTAGCAGCACACGGTTCTCCCATATGTTCTATTACCAGGACATGCATGTAGCCTTACTCTGATGTAAAACTATGAGAAGCAAAGCTTTTTGATTAGAATAGCCTCCATTTTAAGAGTCTGAATTTTAGCTTCCTCACAACAAAATCAAAGTCCATTTCTATATCATACACCAGGTAGTAAACATAGCAATTGGAACATTGTTGTTATTGCTAAATGCTGTCAAGTCGATTCCGACTCATAGCCACCCTGTATAGGGCTTCCGAGGAGCAGCTGATGGGTTTGAACTGTGGACCTTGTGTTTCACAGTTAAATTAATAGCTATTTTAAAATAAAGAACACAATGACAATGAATTGTACATGTGAAGAATGCTGAAATGGCAAATGTTTTGTGACATGAGTATAAATCTACCACCAAAAAAAGTGATGCACAACCAGAGATGGAGGCATAGATGGGGACATGGAGAGATAGAACAACTGAGGGCTCTAGATTCATGGGAAGAGAAGGACTGATTGCTGGTGGCCAGGAGGCAGGCTTGCAGAATGTGCCCCTTGGTGGTGTAAATTATTATACATGCCTGAATGTGTTAAAAAAGAAAAGAGAGAGAGAGAGCTAAAATGAATAGAGAGAAATACTGTTAACTGATGGCAGGTACACAGAGGGAATTGTAACCATTGTAATGAAACAAAGTACATGACTTGTTGAATGTAAAACTGATGATCTGCCCTGTCAACTTTCACTCAATTCACCCTAAAAACTTAACAACAACAACAAAAGTAAGGCACAACACTTACATAATTTTTTAAAAGATGATTGAAATTGTTATGTCATCCAAACTGGTGCTTTGGTAGTTAACTTTCAGGCTCCAGAGGTATTTTACAAGTTAACAGATTTCACTCCTTCATGTGAGCAGTTCATTGCGGTCACACATAAAGCACTATTGGTACTGTCATTACATTTGTATTGCTTAACATCTGCAGAGAATATGACATGCAATGCCCATCTGTTCCTCCCACTCTGGCAGCTCTATATATGGAGTTCTTGACTGAGTGGCAGGAATTCTGTTTTCTAGCTTTGATTTCATTTAGCCTCTCTATGGAATAGAAAGGTAAATAAAGGTGGAAATCAATGCATTCTAAGGTTCCCATCAGCTCTAAAACTCTGATTCTATGTACTAAACTAGATAAATGCATATTACTTAACATGAAATCCATTATTAATATGCAGCACTGCCGATCATAGTCCTATGACACTGCTTATCTCCAAGAGACCAACTCAGACTGAATCTCCAGAGGTGGTGTCCTTGCGGCCAAAGCTCCAAAGAGTCCTTACTATTTCAGCTCAGAGAGACTTAAATCATTACAGCAATGGAGAAGCTAAAGGATTGGAGAAGTGTAAAGTCTGCTTAAAGCTAAAATGGTCAAAAAGAAACATCCTAGGTAATTTCTCATTAGGGAACAACACTCATTCAAATTGTGTAAATTCTGCTTGGCTTGTTTGAAAAATCAGACATGTCAAAAATGTTTAGGGGAAAGAAATCCATTTTTTCCTCTACAGATACATCTTGTTAAACAGAGCGATAGTCATTCATCTGGGATAAAAAACAGCAACAGCAAAAAGAACCTTTCTTTCTTCATAAATTTTAAATTATATTAAGAAGACTTTTAAACAGAACTAAATTAATCCATCCATCAAATTTCACCTAGTCTCTATTGGCTACTAGGTATAAGCACTGTGAATATCAAGATGAAGAGGAAAAGGTCCCTGCCCACTAGGAGTTCAGTTTGTGGTGGTGATGTGTCCTGGAGTGAGTTCCGATTCACAGCGACCTCATCCTTCTCCAGCAGAACCACTGGTAGTTTCAAACTGCTGACCTTGAGGTTCACAACCTGATTCGTAACCACTATACTATCAGAGCTCAGATTAGTGGGGAATATAAACCTAACCACACTCTTGGTGTGGCGCTATAGAATAAGCACTGGATTGCAGACCACAAGGTCAGCAGTTCAAACCCACCAAGCCACTCCCGAAAACCCGATACAGGGTTGCTGTGAGTCAGAACTGACTTGGTGTCACTATAATTATAGGAAAAGATAAGTAATGCTATGACCTAAGTGATAAACTGTTGT